AACCTCTCTGAGACTATACTACATCAATTATGGCGGTCCGAAAAAGACGGAAGCTTACCTGATGAGTAATCACAACGGTGATGTTTATCATGACTATTCCGGCTGCCATTCGCTTGCTTTTGTACCGGTAGTAGGTGATAGTATTAAAGATCCAAACCGGAAGGACTATATCCGGAAAGGACAGGATTTTGCGAATTTCCCTTCTTACCAGATGCTGAAAGAGCTTGATGGCGAAAATTCAAGTAACGGGCAACCTACCGGGATGGCGCTTATTCCCAACTACGACTGTAACGCCCCCTCCCTGTTATCCAACCACAATCAGCTTTGCCCGCCCTTGAGCGGCTGTGTTACCAATACACTGCTTAATATCGCAGATACTGAATAAAGCGCTCCAATGACGGCCACCAGTACATTACTTAACCTTAGCTACTACTCGGAAATAATTGCGTTTCTCGTCACTATTCTCTTTTTTATAAAAGTAAGAAGTAAGGTAAGCACCATGCTCATGGCACTGATGTGCATCATTATGATCACGGAAAGCCTTGGCCGCAACAAAGACTTTTTCAAGCCACATATCAATATTTTTCTGGCGCAAAATGTAGAGATACTGTATGAAATAGCCACCTACCTGTTCATCTACTATTTCTCGGTACACACGCCAGGCCTGAAACGATGGATCGGTCTGATGATCGTCAGCTTCATTGTTTTCTCCGGCATCTTCGCGGTTTACTGGCAACCATTGAACGTCTCCTTCCCCACTAAATCCATTGCCCTTGGCGGTATATTTATTCTTTGCAGCATTCTTATTTACTTTTATGAAGGCATCAAGAATATGCAGGAGCATAGCTTTTATAAAGACTACCTGTTCTACATAAGCATCGGGCTGTTTATTTTTTATGCCAATGAAATTCCCGCTATGACGCTGCTCAATTATTACCTCGAGCGACATGCCGATATCAGCAAGGTGTCTTTCATCTTCTACCTGAAAATAACCGGGAGTATTATTTATTACAGCTTGTACACATTTGGCATCTTATGGACGATAAGGAAATAGTGTTTCTGATCTTTTCTGCCAGCATTACCATATTGCTGATCAGTATCGGGCTGGTATTATTCCTTGTTTTTTTTGTGCGCACCAAAAAGAGGGATTTTGCCGAACGCTTTAAGCTGATGGAAGCCTATGAAAAAGAATTGTACAATACTAAAATTGAGATCAAGGATCAGACCTTAAAATATGTAGGCCGGGAGCTTCACGACAATATCGGCCAGCTGCTTACTGTAACCCGGATACACCTGAAGGGCCTGGTAAAAGTAATAGACAATGAAAAGCTGACCGAGGTCAATAATATCACGGCCCGCGCGCTGGAAGAGCTGAGAATGCTGTCCCGCTCGCTGAATAACAGCGACCGCGCCGCCGATACCAGCCTGTTGAAACTGGTAGAACAGGAGATGACACTGATTGACAAAACAGGTGCCGTAAAACCATCTTTGAAAGTGGCTGGAGATGTGTATAACTTTGATGTCGGGCATGAGATCATTTGCTTCCGTATCATGCAGGAGTTTGTATCCAATGCGCTTAAATATTCGGGCTGTGAGCACATCTGTTTTGAACTGGATTATCAGCCGGGAGAATTCAGTTTCCGGCTGAGAGATGATGGAAAAGGTTTTGACAAACACAGTGTGGTAAAAGGGAGTGGGCTTATTAATATTGAGAACCGGGCCAAAATGATCGGGGCACATTATGAACTGAAATCAACAGCAAAAAACGGCACTACTATCATCGTAAAACTTAAAACAAATGTCACAGTATAATATTGTTATCGTAGATGACCACCAGGTAGTATCCGAAGCCATTGCCGGGCTTATTAATGCACTGCCCCAATACAATATCCTTTATGAGGCAAGAAACGGGAAAGACCTGGTTAACAAATTCCAGAACAAAAGAAATATCCCCGACATCATCCTTCTGGACATCAATATGCCCATTATGAATGGCTTTGAAACGGCCGAATGGTTACAGCAACATCATCCCGAGGTCTGCTTTATTGCCCTGACCATGAATGACGATGAAGAATCGATCATTAAAATGTTGCGGCTGGGCGCCAAGGGTTACCTGATCAAAGACATTGACTCTGATGAGTTGCTGGTGGCACTGGATGAGGTGATCAGGAAAGGATTTTATTATACCGATCTTGTGACCAGCAAACTGGTCACTAACCTTAATAATGACGACAAAGTAAAAACCAGCCAGCTATTGCTGAAAGATAAAGAGATTGAATTCATCAGGCTGGCCTGTACCGAAATGACTTACCGCGAAATTGCAGATACCATGTTCCTCAGCCCTAAAACGGTAGATGGTTACCGGGACGGGTTGTTCCAGAAACTGAATATTAAAAACAGGATCGGGCTGGTGCTTTACGCAATTAAACATAAGCTCATCACCATTGATGAGCATGTATAAACAAAAAGGGTGGCACGTTTAAAATGCCACCCTTTTTAATGCTTGTTGCCACCATTATTGCGGTGCAAAAATGAACCGGAATGTAAGGCCACCCTTTGTAATCGTAGTGGGGTAGGCTTGTGTGGTATAAGGTATACTTTGCCGTCTGTCGTAGAAGAAACGTAAGGTCACGCGATCATTCACGATATAGTCGATAGATGGAGATATGGAAATCACCTTTTGTCCACGGGTGATCACTTCATAATCCTGTGCCAGGTAAGTATTGCTGGTCTTATCATCCCGCAAGCCAATATCCACTTTAATATTCAGGTCGTTCTCCAACCGGCGTACCCCAAATATTTCAAACGGCAATCTCAAACCTTTGATACGGTAACCAGCCCCGATCACAAACTCTGTACTTCGGGTTTCACTGATCTGGTAATCGATCATACTCAGGCTGGTGGTACGGCTTTTATTATATTTAAAAGTAGCCGTCATACCGTTTTTCAGCGCAGCGTCTATACCGATCAACGGGCTGAATTGCTCGGTGATGGTGATATTAGGCACCTGGAAGAATGGCACAAAATTACCGGAGGTTGAGTCCAGGAATGAAGGATGCCCCAGGGCAAATACATCCTGGTACATCAACGAGGAGGCAAAGGAACTTACCGACAGGTTACCGGTATAAGCATCATTGACCACAAAGTTGTTAAAGATGCCACTGAACAGCGGTATACGCGTCAGTCCATTATAATTGATACGCCAGTTCGGCATCGGGAAATAGTACTTAAACGGATTTCCCTTGATGCTATTATCACTATAATCC